TATTATGGTATTATTTTGTTTGTGTATGTAATTATAATAAAAAGAGTAATAAAAGATACGATATTAAAGTAGAGCCGAGCACTTGAGAGTGAACTCCCCTGTCGTTGCGTCTTTTGGTGCAATGTTTAGGTTAGGCATAGTGTGTAGTGTGCACAGTGTGGTAGCCAAGTGTGTTGTTCAGTTTGAGTTCGTTCTGCCGACCCAAACAAAATGGCAACCGGAGGGTTTGATCCACGAATGTCTGGTGGAAGACAAATAAGGCTTCAAGTTTGCAGGTAAAAATCTACTGAAGTTGTGGTCATAGTGTACATTTATGAGATGAAGCCACTTTTGACTTCGAATAATAATAATAATATTTGAGTTTAGTAAAGTTGTAAGCTTACGCAATGACCAGTAGATCTAATAACAACAACAAAAAGTAAAGACCATGCCATGTGTCATGATGTGTTTGACTTTTTTTTTGTAAAAGGGTGAAAAAAAGTTCACTTGACACTGTTTAAAAAAAATGTTTTTCTATTTAGATTCCAGTCAGTCTCTTTAAGTCTTTTAAGTTGTCTCAGGTGTTAGAAGTAAGATAAGCATGTTAGTTTTAGTAGCCTAATCTTGGTATCCTAATCCTAATGTTTAGAGTAGATTTTAGATCTAGATATCTAGATCTAGATCTAGATATCTAGATCTAGATTTCTAGATCTAGATTTCTAGATCTAGATTTAGTTGTGAAAGTGACAGTGTCGCCTTAGCCTTAATCTTAACACTTTCACTTTCATCACATGAAGCTACAGCGAGCACCTAGATCTAGATCCAGCACACCTCTGACTCTGTGATTGGACATCATTTAGGATGTGGACTTCTGACCCTGTCTGCCAGGGTCAAACTGGGGGGAGAGGGATATTCATCCCTATGCCTATAGAAAGACAGAGATTCTTGATAAAATTTTAAGTTTCTCCTTATTACTTGAGAATTGATTTGAATGAAGGTGTCCTGCGTGTAAAAGCAAAGCACCTAACCCTAACCACAGACGCCGGTGATCTTCTAGAGTCTATATGTCATATGTGTCACCACCGCGCATCTGTTTGGGTGCGCAACCCCCGGTCTCCTGCTTTGTTTTGGATAAGAACAGCGAAAACGAGGTCACTTTCTGTGAGCATGCGCAGAATGCAGCTTCTTTCACTTTCGTTTTGGAGGTTCCTGTCAACACAAGTGATTCTACGGTGTCGGAAAGTGTTGCCCCTTCATATTGATGGTTTTCGTAACTGGTATCGGTGAATTTACCAAACCAAACTAATCGCTTGAGTAGTCGATTATTTAGCACATCTAGTTAATCTAGCTCTAATGTATCGTAGAATGTATACTAGAAGGAAGCCATACTAGAATCGATAAATACTATTGCAGGCTGCTTCTTTATGCCCAGGAACATGCCAGACAGAGTTGCGGGCGCACTGAAGCAGACCAGCAGACCAAATTTGTGCAGTCCGTTTCAGTGCGCAATATCGTTTTTTTTTTGCTATTTGGCATTAATAGTGTGGCTTCTAGGCCCTTTGGTTGTTTTACTTCTTAAGTTATTTCTTTATGACCTGCATTGTGCACTGAAACAGACTGTTTTCCTTCCCTTTGGATGCATTATATTGCCATTGGTCATGATTGGAAGATGATCAGTTAATGTATTCATGTCAAAATTAATTAATATGGAAATTTAATCTCCAAAATGTTCAATTTCTTCTTTTCATGTCTTTTTCTTCTTCTTTTTTGTCCTTTTCCTTTAAGAATACTAATCTAGGTAAAGTCTAATTCTTGTTTTCTTCTTTCACCTCCTTCACTTGTGTCCACAGCACCTTTCTTTTTTAATTTCTTCTTTTCACGTCTTTTTCTTCTTCTTTTTTGTCCTTTTCCTTCAAAATACTTGTCTAGGTATAGTCTAATTCTTGTTTTCTTCTTTCCCCTTCTTGTGTCCTTAGCACCTTTCTTTTTATCCATTATCAAAACACATACACACGGTATAAGGAAATCTCCTGTCAGAAGGCGCACAGCTCTCAAAAAGAACTCGCCTCATTGACCTTGGCCTTCCGTTATGGTCAGTACAGGAACTTCTTGCAAGGAAAAGTTCTAAGACAAGGCCAGGATAGAGAAAGATGAAAAGTATCAGAAAAGATCTAGATCTAGAGCTGTGAACATGGTACTATTGCGCACCCAACCAGATGACATATGTTGCACCAAACAGACACCTTGCGCATCAACCAGACACACGTTACCAAGCAAACACCACCACAACATAGGAATTTTAAACTGCTGTTACAATAATGCGCTGCACCGTATAGAGAGGAAGTTTTTCTAACTTCTGGTGAAAAAATCACGAAGATCGACCTGTAACTTCCAGAGATCCACAAAAGATCGCTTTCTGTATATCGCACCACAGGATTAACCCTAGATGTAGTTTTGAAAATTTTAGTCAGACTCCCTCCCGAATATGATAAAATGTTATTCGGACACGGGTCAGGAAAAAAGGAAGTGTCTGCGTTCTATAGATCTAACATTCAGTGCTTCCAATTTTCCGCCATTTTTTAGTTTCCCCCACACCTTATCTGCCAATCCGATGCCCGCCGCCTCATTGATACCCCCCACCCCCCATGTTTCCCACTTTCTTTGTTGTAGAAAAAGGTAAAATTGAAGATTAGCAGACCACCTTGCGCCTTGCACCTGCATATTATGAGCTGTGTAAAAAAAAAGACCGATTCGTTCAAATACACAAGCTTGTGTCATCTCAATTGTTTACCAAGAAAAAGTTGTGTTACTATGTAGAGCTGAGCATACGGCAACTTTTGATTCCATAGACCAGCGCACAATTCATTAAGTAGATCTACGTCAAGACTAGCTAAGCTTATTATGGTAATAATGATCAGTTGCCGAG